CATCGCATCGGAATTACAGGTTGGTAGTTCCTGTTTTCCTTTTCTGATAGTTATGAGATGTCAACTACCACCTATTATTTAATTTCAACCATCATCACATGGGAATTTCATTCTGACCCGATCTGGGTTTTTTGGCCCATGGCAACATTTATTTGTTTTTGTGTTATGGTTCATGTGAACTGATCGATCCCTTTAAAAATTTAGCTTGATTCTTAAAAATTTTGTGAAAGACCCTTTTAATTTGAAATCCTAGCTCCATCAATGCATATAGCAGGTGAATGTTAAGCCTGGTGAATTAAGTCTCACAATTAATACGAGCTTGCACTCCAAATTATTCTCATTTGTCTTCCAAACGTTTGCTTGGTTCACAGAATGGATTTGAGGGGAAATCATTTCCCAAGGAATGGGAATGAAAGATTCCTTTCCCACGTTTGGTAATGTCGGGAAAGTAATTGGGAGATTTCACTTTGTTTCCTTTTCCATGTTTGTTTTGAGTAGGAATCGAAAAGAAAATTTGTATAATTTTCCAATTATACCCATATTAAATCAAATAAAAAAAGAATGCATTTAATGATAAGTTGTAATTATAAATTGTTCATAGGGACAAAATAGTCATGAAAATTGTGTATTGAATGTTGGCTCATTTTCCCAAACTTTCCCATGATGGGGGAAAACAAAACCCAAGTTAAGAGGAGTGATTCACTTTCCCCCTACTTTCCCATGTGCCAGGAAACCATTTCCCATGTCTGAACTTACCAAACATGGGAAATCAATTAAATTCTCATTCCCAAACCTCCTTTCCCATGAACCAAATGGGGCCTTAGGGATTGTCATGAATTCGCTTGGCTTGATCTAAGCTAGATAAAATTTGTCTTGTGTTTGGTGTATTCGCCTAGCTTAGTCTAAGCTTATTATATCACATTGTGTTATCAATCAACTCATGTTATATTACATGTATTTATTTATTAATATTTTATTGTAGGTTTATGAAATATCAACTTGTATTCACCAATATTATAACAGATGAATTCGTAACACATATGTGACTCTGACGCAACTTAAAAGCCAATTTTGTGCCCTTTAAAATTTTTTAATTGTTCAAAGGTTATTTTTTGAAAATTAAATGTTTAAAATTAGCACTAATATTTAATTTTTTGTTGTAAGATGTAACAGATTCACACCCGAGCTAATAAGATTATCCTAAAGCACTTGATCATAAGAATTTGTGAAAATCTCATTTTTATTTGGAGATAATGTATTGCTACTGGATGGTTTATCTTTAGCATCTTTGTTTTAACGGTCCATTCTGTTTGGCATACATATAGTCAGTTAATGGTCCATCCCACGAGATGGAAAGTCGCGTGTTGATTGGTCAGTCAATTGAAACGGTAGCAATATTATTTATATTTTATGAAAATACAAAAATCCTATATGGAAATTTAAATACGTCACAAAGTTGAGTCTTTAACGTAAGATAAATTATAAAATAATACGGTAGTATTACGTCGTGTTAAATTATAAAATAATACGATAGTACCACTTCATGAGTTCACTTTGTGCTGTCAACTTGATCAAATTACTGGCAAAAATTGAAGCTGGGTTGGAGGTTTCTCTATTAATTAAATTGGGTATGTGATCAAGTAATTAAAGCTATTCTCTTAAGAGCATCCATAATGGGAAGGTGTATAAGGGGGTGTATGTTAAATATACACCCCTTGTCATCAGAATCATCTCCAATAGGGAGATGTAAAGGGTTGTAAACATACATTACCACCATGGAGATGTAAAATAAAATGTGCATTTGCATATGTTTTTACATCATTTGCAGGCGGGACTCACCCGAGAAAAGAGAGGAAAAATGAAGTAAGACAAACAAATCAATTATACATCTTTAGATTTACATCGTTTTCCATTGGAGCAAAAAACGTATTTACAACCCCCTGAGGTGTAAAGGGGATGTAAAAGTGGCTTTATACCCCAAAAAATACACCCCCCACTATGGATGCTCTAAGTATAGCTAGCTTGGAAGGAGATGGCTGAGTCTTGAGACCACTTGTGGCGTCAACTTGATCAAATTACACACCTGTTGATGTGAAGTAAGAAATGAGAACCAGATATCTTTCTTTCTTTAGAGCCTTATCAATAACTGTCGTTTGAATGATGACTTACAAAATGAATGTTTTTTTTTCTTTCTTTGTTCTAAAAATAAACGGTTTTGTTTATGTGATGGCACAGTGAAATATGCTCAAGTGAGTAGTTATTGCCGTATTGTTTATGTGAGGACGCTCCTCATGCTTCTTATTAAATGGTCAATTTGATTCATTTGATTTTTTTTTTCAAGGTACTTTGATTGATTGAATTGAATGCACAGTCAATTTGTTTTAGTCTCGAAGTTTTGTTTTCCTTTTAATTTTGGTCATGGAATATTTGCAAAATCAATTAGGTACTTATTGTTAGATTTTTCAATATCCATCCAAATCGTTGTACACAAGTGTCACGTTGTGTTTAGTCACTTTCTGATGGCAATTTTGTCATTGTATAAATGAAACATAAATTAATTGGTTAAATGAAACTAGAAAATAAGAAATGTCAAAAAAGCAAAAGAAAAATATCCCTACTCCCCTTTGTCTGTAGTTTAGACCATTACTTCTACTACAAAAACATTAATAGGGGATGGTGAAAATTTCTCCCTCTTTTACTCGAGTGTTATCAATAAACTCTTGTTATATAACACGTTTATAAGTTTATTAATAGTTTGTAGTAGGATTATGAAATATGAACTTGAACCCCACTTATATTATATTACATGAACTTGTAACACCTATGTGTTTGTGACACAACTTAAGACCCAATCTCTAAATACTTTTAATTGTGCAAAAGGTTATTGTTAGAAAATGAAATGTTTAATATTAATATTTTTTTTTTCAATTTAAATGGAATTCGGATGCGAATCTGGTTGAAAATGAGACCCAAATTTCAAAACTCTTCAACTTTTAGCATAATCATTTTGAACAATGTTTGCTTGGAGCATTAGTTTTGAGTATGTTTAAGTTGTAACACATTCACACCCCGAGCTAAAAAAAAGAAAAAAAAAGTGACTGATGTGGAATTGGTTGCACGTGTGGCCCACTAAAAAGTGGTCCCACGTTAGGAGGAGTGTTGAAGAATACACGAGTTCCACATCGGAAACTTAACAAAATAGAAAGTCCCATATAATAAGTGGTTCCACTCCTAATAACATTGAGGCCTTTTGTATAAAAACCCCATACCTGCTAAACAGGTGGTTAAGTTGAGGACAATATCGATGTTGCTAGTGGTGGGCCAATGGTCTGTCCCTCTGAAATCTTAACATCTTGGTCATATGGGAATTTGTAAAATCTCATTTTTATTTGGAGATAATGTATTGCTACTGGCGAATTTGCTCTTTAACGTCAACATAATAAGATGATCATCAGCCAATTGCTTTAAAAGATGAGTAGACTTCGACTTAGACACAACCTAGTTATATTCAAGAACCGAATCTTCGTTCCGAAGGTCCATTTTGTTTGTCCTACATATGATCAGTGTCAATGGTCCATACCACGAGATGGAAAGTCGCTTGTTGATTGGTTTGGAATTGAAAAGTTGCAATATTATTTAGGGTTTTTCGCAACTATGGTCCCTCAACTATACTCGTAATTGCATTTGGGTCACTGAACTCAATTATTAGTTGCTGAGGTCACTCAACTATGTGTTTCGTTGCACCGTTAGTCCCTACCGTCAAGTCTCTCTAGCGGAAGGGACTAATGGTGCAACACAACACCTAATTGAGTGACCTCTATAACTATTTTTTGGAGTTAAGTGATCAAAATGTAACTCCAAGTATAGTTAAGGGATCATTTCTACAAATAATCCTAACTGAAAAGTCATCAATAATTGGATAGATCTTGCCACGTCATCATTTTAAACGGAAAAAACTAACGGACTTGACGGAAGGACTTCTGGTGCAACGAAACACATAGTTGAGTGACCTCTGCAACTAATAATTGAGTTCAGTGACCCAAATGCAATTACGGGTATAGTTAAGGGACCATAGCTATGAAAAATCCTATTATTTATACTTTATGAAAATATAGAAATGCTATATGGAAATTTGAAATGCGTCACAAAATTGGGTCTTCAACGTGAAATGCATTATGAAATTTGGTCTTTAACATGGGATAAATTATAGAATGATACGGTAGTACCATGTTGTGTGTATCTTGGACCTCACCAATCCCAATATATTTCTAATTTGATTAGTTGTTAACAATTTTATTCACAAAAGCCTGTGATCCAAAAACCAAACCATTAGCTCAAAATAAACTGAATAAAATACAAACAAGTTAAATTAGAGTAGATGTAACAAATGTGGCATATAGGTCACAGAACATACAGGGTGTGAGTAGTAGAAAAAGGGTGGCCGAATGAAAAAGCTGCGCACCAAGCTGGCAAAAATTGAAGCTGGGTTGGAGGTTTCTCTGCTAATTAGGTATTTGATCAAGTAATTGAAGCTGTTCACTGAGTATAGCTTGGAAGGAGATGGCTGAGTCAACTCGATCAAATTACTATATGCTGATGTGAAGTGAGAAATAAGAACCACATCTTCTTTAGAGCCTTATCAATAACTGTCGTTTGTTAGTACTACACTAGCACTCGTATGGGGCCTGTTTACACCATAATCAACCGAGCATATCCAGCCTCAAAACAACTAGCACCAAGGCGGACACGTGTCACCACCACAACGACTTGCACAAAGTCCCACATCGGTGTTGAGATATGGGTTTATTCCAATTGATATTTGGGAATATTGTAATTGATTCTTTCCTAGTTTAGAGATAGCGTGACCTGGTGTTTAGGGTCCTAGTTTGGCTAACTGCATAATTGTGGGATCTATATTGCTGTATCAATCCCTATATATGTACCTGCACATATTGTATGTTTACATAACGGTATATAGAATTCCTTATACCAGATTTTACATGGTATCAGAGCTTCAGACGGGCTCTATACTTCCGCTCAACACCTTACAGCCTACCATGGCTAAAGACGACGACAACTCGAAATCCTCCACAGATGGGGAATTTTCAAACCCTGATCACCCATATTATATTCACCAATCTGACCATCCTGGAATGGTCTTGGTCGGCAAGCCATTATCCGGAGATAACTATAGCACTTGGAGCCGCCAGTTTCGACTAGCCTTGAGCGCAAAGAACAAGACAGGCTTCCTCGATGGTTCAATCACGAAGCCGTTGAAAGCGAAGCCGGAATTTGATAGGTGGCGGCGTTGTAACGACATGGTCTTATCATGGATCTTGAACTCACTGGAACCAGATCTTGCCAACAGTGTGATCTACACCGACTCAGCACACGAAATTTGGGCAGACCTTGAAGAGAGATTCGCGCAGACTAATGCGCCTCGGGTTTTCCAGCTTCACAAGGAAGTAGCTACTCTTACACAAGATCAAATGCCCTTATCCACGTACTATTCGAAACTCAAGGGGTATTGGGATGAACTGTCATCCTACAACAACATGGAACCCTGCACTTGTGGGGCTTTGAAATCCATTACAGCGCGAGAAGAGGAGCAACATTTAATGCAACTTCTGATGGGGCTCCATGAATCCTATGCAGCCATTAGAGGACAGATATTACTTATGCAACCTTTGCCCACTGCCCGCAAAGCATACAGCCTCCTTTTGCAAGAAGAGAAGCAGCGGCAAGTTGCTTCCACCCCCAACAATACAACCAGCAACGAGAGCATGGCAATGCTCAGTATACACACTAAGAAAGGCAATACCAGCAAGCAAGGCTTTCAACAGCGGCCTTCATCATCCAATATCGGCCCATCCTTTCAACCTCATGGAAATCCTAGAGAGCCAAAACAATGCACTTATTGCAATGGTAAAACTCATACAATCGATACTTGTTTTTTTCTCAAAGGTTTTCCTCCAGGGCACAAGTGGCACGGCAAGGAGGTGGTACCCAAACTTGATGACAACGGTCGCCCTTCCCAAAACCGCTCATCTCATGGGAGCAACCGACAACATACCAATGTGCATAACGTTCAGAGTCCAGATGCACAGTTTCATCACCTACAAACCATAGCTCCTCATCTCACACTCGAGCAATGTCAGCAAATTCTTGGTACTGTTGGTAAGGAGGAAGTTTCCCAATCCCAAGCGAATTTTGCAGGTCTGAATTATCCTTTTTGCCTCAGTTCCCAAACTAATTCTTATTTATCACATGCCTGGGTTATAGATAGTGGTGCCACAGACCATATCACCAATTCTCATGCACTCCTAACTGAAAATTCACCCACACATCTTCCACCAGTAGGATTACCCACAGGGGAAAAAGCACCCATCACATCTATAGGCACTGTTAACTTTGATGATATTTTTCGTCTTACCGATGTCTTATGCGTCCCCTCTTTCAATGTTAGTTTATTGTCAGTCCCTCGCCTTACCGCATCACTAAATTGTTGTGTGTGTTTTTTTCCCACTTTCTGTTATATACAGGACTTGCGCACGAAGAAGATGATTGGGTTGGGTAAGAGGCATGGAAACCTGTACTATTTCGATCCCCAACGCCTTGCTCCGCAGCTCCATTCTTCCTCCACATATCATGTGTCTGCTTCACACAACCTCTGGCATCTCCGATTAGGACACCCTTCCAATGCCAAACTTCGCTCTTTGTCTAAACATTTTTCTGATATTTCACTTCCTACGCATATTTGTGATTTTTGTCCTTTGGCCAAACAAACTAGGCTACCTTTCCCTTCCAGTTCAATAAAAAGTATTGCACCTTTTGATTTAATTCACTGTGACATCTGGGGTCCACATAAGATTGCTTCTCACTCTGGTGCCCGATATTTTTTAACTATTGTTGATGATTTCTCTCGTACCACATGGATTTATTTGATGAAACTGAAGTCTGAAACACAAAATCTGCTCAAATCTTTTTTTTCCTTTGTGTCCACACAATTTAATAAACAAATAAAAGCTATCCGTGTGGACAATGGCGCAGAGTTTTCCTCGCTTCAAACTTTCTTTGCAGATCTTGGTGTTCTCTATCAACACACTTGTACTTACACACCCCAGCAAAACGGTGTTGTCGAACGAAAACACCGACATCTCTTGGAAATGGCTCGTGCCCTACGCTTTCATGCACACCTCCCTTCCAAATTCTGGGGGGAGTGTGTTCTCACCGCAGCTTATCTCATTAACCGCTTACCTACTGCCATTTTGACCGATAAAACCCCTTACGAACTCCTTTTTGGTCATCCACCACCATATCGTCACCTTCGCGTCTTTGGTTGTCTATGTTACGCCACTAACCTTCAACCTACCAATAAATTTGATTCACGAGCTCGCAAATGCATCTTCATTGGCTATCCTTTTGGGCAAAAGGCTTATCGTCTTTATGACCTTGACACTAAAAAATTCTTCAGCAGCCGCGATGTTATTTTTTATGAAAATATTTTTCCTTTTGCTGCTCCACACACAACCACCATCCCCATCCTCCCTACGTCTCCTTCCACTTTCAGCCCACATACGGGCCCTCATATGCCTCTTTCCTGGCCCACTCCACTGTCTGCCCATAATGAGCCACCCATACCCACACAACCTTCTGACCCACCTATTCCACCTTCTCTAGATAATGAGCCACTCATACCCACACAACCTTCTGACCCACCTATTCCACCTTCTCTAGATAATGAGCCACTCATACCCACACAACCTTCTGACCCACCTATTCCACCTTTTGACCCACCTATCCCACATTCTCTAGATAACCCACACACCACCTCACACGATCTCACCGACCCTTCTTTTTCTCAATCCCCTCACGGCACCACACTTCCTTCACCATCCTTCCCTATCACGACTCATGCTCAAAATAGTCCCACTATGCCCTCTCCTCCTACTTCATTGCCGTCATCTCTTTCTTCTCCACCTCCTCTTCGTCGCTCTCACCGTATTCCTCAACCTTCCATCCTTCTACGTGACTTTCACTGCAATGCTACCATGCCGCCTTCCCCTGCTCAGTCTTCTTCTTCCCCTACACTAGGTAAGGGTTCCAGGTATCCATTGTCCAATTTTCTCGCTTATGATCACTTGTCTTCTACTCACCGCACCTTTGTTGCAGCAATCTCCAAAATCATAGAGCCCACTACCTATGCCCAAGCTTCCACTGACCCTCTTTGGTGCGATGCCATGGCACAAGAACTCCAGGCACTTGAGCAAAATCACACATGGTCTCTTACCTCTTTACCTGCAGGAAAACACCCCATTGGCTGCAAATGGGTCTATAAGGTGAAATATCACTCTAACGGCTCTGTCGAACGCTACAAAGCGCGACTTGTCGCCAAAGGCTACACTCAACAGGAAGGCCTCGACTATACCGAGACCTTTTCTCCCACTGCCAAGCTGGTTACATTCCGATGTCTTCTTGCTCTTGCCGCCGTCCGTAATTGGCCCCTACATCAGCTCGACGTTCAAAACGCCTTCCTCCATGGTGATTTGAACGAAGAGGTGTACATGACTCTCCCGCCTGGTTTTCGCCGACAGGGGGAAAATTTGGTGTGTCGGCTACATAAATCTCTGTACGGCCTGAAACAAGCTTCACGTAATTGGTTTGCAAAGTTTACTACAGCCCTACGTGCAGCTGGTTTTGTTCAGTCCCTAGCCGATTACTCCTTATTCACAAGGTCTCAAAATAATTCATTTACTGCACTATTGATCTATGTAGATGATATTGTGATTACAGGGGATGATCCTAAAGCTATCCAGTCAATCAAAGACTTCCTCAATGTTCGCTTTCGCATCAAGGATTTGGGACCTCTCAAATACTTCTTGGGTATCGAAGTTGCACGATCAAAGAAAGGAATTTTCATTTCACAACGGAAATATGCACTGGAGATACTGGATGATGCCGGGTTGCTAGGTGCCCGGCCTTCACCTTTTCCCATGGAACAAACACTGAGACTTAGGCTTGAGGAAGGCAAGCCGCTGAAAGATGCCACCAAGTACCGTCGATTGGTTGGCCGACTTATATACCTTACGGTAACCCGGCCTGACATTGCTTTTTCTGTTCACATCCTGAGCCGCTTCATGCATCAACCCCATCAGCCGCATCTAGATGCAGCACTACGAGTGTTACGTTACCTAAAGTCTTCTCCAGGCCAAGGGATTTTTTTTGCAGCTCATAATGATTTGAAGCTCAAGGCTTTTTCTGACTCTGATTGGGGGAGTTGTCCCACCACAAGACGATCTGTGACAGGTTACTGTACCTTCCTTGGAAACTCTCTGATCTCGTGGAAATCAAAGAAACAAAACACCATTGCACGTTCGTCTGCAGAAGCGGAGTACCGTGCCATGGCAGATACATGTTGCGAGTTAACATGGCTGAGATATATTCTCAATGACTTGGGCATTCGGCATTCAGAACCTGCGACACTACACTGCGATAACCAGTCAGCATTACACATTGCCAAAAACCCTGTCTTTCATGAACGGACAAAACATATAGACCTGGATTGTCATTTGGTGCGACAAAATATTACATCAGGATTGGTTTCCACTACATACACGCCAACAAATTTGCAAGTGGCAGACCTCTTCACAAAACCGTTAGGAAAGGCTTCCTTTGGAACACTACTTGGCAAGTTGGGAGTGTACAATATCCACTCGCCAACTTGAGGGGGAGTGTTGAGATATGGGTTTATTCCAATTGATATTTGGGAATATTGTAATTGATTCTTTCCTAGTTTAGAGATAGCGTGACCTGGTGTTTAGGGTCCTAGTTTGGCTAACTGCATAATTGTGGGATCTATATTGCTGTATCAATCCCTATATATGTACCTGCACATATTGTATGTTTACATAACGGTATATAGAATTCCTTATACCAGATTTTACAGAAATCTATACAAACCTCCCACTTTCACCTCCCTATAAATAGGGAGTAGTAGCCCATTCATTAAGGGTGAACCACGTATATCTTGTCTTCTTTACATTTATCGTTTGCCCAAGTCTTTACACACATGCTTAAGGTCCTCACCTTCATCCATCATCCATCACACCTTATAACTAAGTTGGACTCAATCTTGGCCTAACCATTTTGAGCATCAACAGGGCCATTGACACATTGTTTCTTCTGCTTTTTCTTTTTCGCATTAGCTGAGCTGTCATACTTACACAATCTCCAAAAGATGCCAAACCTAAATTTGTCCTCAATAAGTACAGCTTTTCTATTCAGGAGGTCCACAACAATACTTTATGTCATCTTAATTTATTTACGAACAACATAGTAATCAAGACTGAGTAAACATTGGATATGACTTACAAGTGAATGGTTTTTTTTATAGTGTAGGTTCCTTAAAGAGTCCTTAGTTGCGTACATCTATCATTCTTATGTTTCTAGTCTTTCACTTATAATTCCCGAACTCTTTGCAACTACAATTCCTATATTCCGAGCAAATTATTTGCTATTTAGATTTCACAAACGTTTTAACCTATTAGGCTTGGCCCATAGGATTAGGGCTTTTCTCCTCATTTTTATAAATTTGATTCACCGCACGTTCCTGGAACCTAAAAGTTTCTAAACCTAGATGTGACAAATTTGAAATAATAAACACCTTTGACCTAGAGAGAGTTGACATGGACTATTAGATCATTATTCATGTTAATTCTCTATTGGTTCCTTTCCAATTCTCTATTGTTACATTCTTCCCACAATGCTTAAATATTGTGGATTTTATTAGCAGAATACATTTTTGTTTTGGCAAGTGGATGTTATATGAGGTTAGTTTAATCTAAAATACTTCTCAATTTTCGGTGAAATTCACATGTGGAGAGTAATTTGAGTAGATATTTATCTCTAAAACATTTGTTCATCTCCACACGGTTCAGACTCTAATATATTCCTTTGTTTTGACAAAGACAAATGCAAAGCCATTTATTGATATGTGATGAACTCCCATACATGGATCAAAATGTTGGCACATCAAAACTTACATATCAGCAGGTTTATACACATAAACTTAATTAGTTACTTCCTACGCCGGCCAATTATTGGAATTTTTTTATCATCCATGCTAAAACCAATACCAAAGCCAATGCCAAAGAAGATCCCAAAGACGAGTGCAATAAGAATCGTCTGTGTCTTAGATCTCCGAGTAACTTCAAGTACTTGTGGAGGGCTTTGAGGGCTTTGATGGCAAGAGCGCTTGGGAGTTAGAGGGATACATAAGCCTGGATTTCCTTCAAAGCTGGAGATGGGAAAAGCATCAAACTGGCCTCCGGAAGGGACAAGTCCCTGAAGATCATTGTATTCCACACTGAAGGAAGACAGGAAATGCAGATCTTTAAGAGAAGCAGGGATTTGGCCAGATAGCTGGTTATAGGAGAGATCCAATTTCTCTAAGTTGGTGAGGTTAGAAATCTGATCCGGGATGCTGCCAGAGAAATTGTTGTGACTCAGGTCCAGCACATGAATAAACTTCAGTTGGCCAATCTCAATGGGGATACTTCCATTAAGGCTGTTGTTACTCAGATAAATGGCGGGGGGGAGGTTGGACAGTTGATTGTACTGCTGATCAGTAGCACTATTGGGCTTCACAAATACTGGCAACTCTATATAAGTTCTGTCTACCTTATCACTGGCTTCTTTCAATGTCAAAACCGGTATCCGACAGAGCTCATTAGGAAATCCTCCTTGAAGGAGGTTATTGGACAAATCTATGTAGAAAAGATTGGGCAGACTAGCCAACCAACCGGGAACAGAACCGGTTATAAGATTAAATGACAGGTCCAAGGCTTGAAGGTTTTTAAGCTTGGCTAGCCAGGTGGGTACTTGACCTGTGAATTGGCAACCCCCCAGGGCAAAAACCCGAAGGCTTTGGAATCCATCTAGGTCTCCTAGGCTTTTATCATCTGGCACAGGCTCAAACAGAAAATTCTTGGACAAGATCAGAGTGGTCAGGTTCTTGCAACCCTTTAGAATCCTGAGAGCCCCAGTGGCATTTGTCATGTTGTTGTTAGAGATGGAGAGGAAAGCCAAGGATTCTAATGCAACTATTTCAGGTGATATCTGTCCTGTGAGCTGATTCCCGGCCAATCTGATAGCTGTTAGTGACTTGCAAGAGTAGAGGCTTTTGGGGAACTCACCAGTGAAGTTGTTTTTGCCAAGGTCCAAAGTGGTGAGGCGTTGGAGAGGGGAGAAGTTGAAGGAAGAGAGGTCTCCAGTCAAGTTGTTGACCCTCAAATTCAAAGCAGACAGCTTTGTACTGTTGGCGAGAGATACAGGTAAGGGGCCTGTGAGGTTGTTGATGTGAAGCAGCAGATTTTCCAACCTGGAAAGGCTACCAATTTGGCTTGGGATTGGCCCAGATAACTGGTTTGAAAAGATCTCCAGGATCTGGAGATTGGTGAGGTTCATGATACCATCGTTGATGGGTCCTGTAAGACTATTGACAGGCAGAGAGAGCTGTCGGAGATCAGCAAGGTTGAAAATTTCATCAGGGAGAGAACCAGAGAGGCTATTGAAGCCTGCACGGAAAACTTGGAGCTTGGAACATAATCCGATTCCAGGGGGAATTGTGTCAGTGAGTTGATTGTAGGACAAGTCCAAGAAGCTAAGGGATGTGTGATTGCTACCATTGTTGATGGGTATCAACCCAGAAAAGCTGTTGTTGCTGACATTGAAAATGGACACCGATGGGACTAGGATCGAAGATGGGATTGTTCCAGTGAAGAAATTGCTAGACAAGTTCAGAACCTGAAGCTGACTGAATTTATTTGAAGAGGGTGGTAGGCGGTCGACGAGACGATTGAAGCTCAAGTCAATGACTTGGAGACTAGAGAGAGAGGAAAACAAATCATCAGGGAGAGAACCCCGGAGAGAATTGTGGGAAAGATTGAGGTGGGTGAGATGGGTGAGGCTTGTGATAGATGGATGGATGACACCAGTTAAGCCTCTCCTAGGCAGCCAAAGCCGGACGACATGTCCTTGATCTCCTGGGCCGCAGGTTATTCCTTCCCAAAGGCAACAGTCAGTGAAAGCAGACCAATTTAAATTCAATGGTGCCTTGAGCGCCAAGGACAAGAGAGAGTCCCTGTTCACTTTGTCACAGGCAGATGTGCCAAAGCAAGGCAGAAGCATTAGGACAAACCATTGCCCCCAAAAGAGAAGAAACTGTGTTCTTGGCCTTTGGTTTGGTGTTTGTGGCAACTCCTTGTCGTCCTTGGCGGTCTCTCTGTTTTCTTTCATCTCAAACGTCGGCCCCTTCTGAAATAATAGCTACCCACGGATCTGTACATATGATCATAAGCGTTTACTTTGAGAGCTCTTAGACTCGGTCTAAATTCTTCTTGTTTATGTGAAGTCTGAATCCGCACTAAGTCATTGGAAACTAGGTTGGTTTTGTGGTCATCTGTATATATATATACACAATTATCTAATCTAGAGTTATTATGTTATTCTTAGTATAAACATGTAATCATTTATATCATGATCAAGTGAAAACCCGAACGGCACCACTTGATCAAGGGACATTTTCTCGAGTTGGTTCTTAATAGATAATAAAAACATAATGATATAATCACTCTAAAACTCAAAAAGGAATTTCATATGTCAATTCAATTCATGACTAATTATCACTCTTATCTTTCTATTGAATCCCTCTCTAAAACCCTTTTCTTTTATCAAACAAAATTTCTTAAATCTCTACCCGCTTTATTCTGGTAACACAATATAACTTAAATCAAAGACATTTTATTCAACTAATCCTGCTGCTTGTTTTCTTATATCACCTGATGAATTCCCATGCGTTTGGATCAAAATGTTTTCATGTCAAAACCTGAAGGAGGTAAGGCACCTGTGAGGTAGTTGGGGGAGAGAAGCAAGCTTTCCAATCTGGAAAGCGTACTAATATGACTGGGGATTGGTCCAAGATGGTGAGGGAAGTGTGATTGTTTCCATTGCCGCAAAAAACAGAGAGGGGTATAGGACCAGCAAAAGCTGTTGTTGCTGACATTGAAAGTGGTGAGAGAGCCTGCAGACACAGCTGAGACAATGAATGAAGATGGGATTGAGCCGTTGAAGGAATTGCTGGACAAGTCAACTGTCTGAAGTGCGGTGGTTTGGCTGGAGGAGGGTGATAACTGGCCAACGAGATGGTTGAAGCTTAAGTCAAGGACCTGGAGGTGTCGGAGCGAGGAAAACAAGTCATCTGGGAGAGGACCCAAGAGGGAATTCCAGGAGAGATTGAGGTGGGTGATATATGTGAGGTTGGTGATATACGGGGATATGACACCACTTAAGCCTCTCCCAGGAAGTGATGCACAGATGACGCGTTGATCATCTTGGTTGCAAAGTATTCCTTCCCAAAGGCAACAGTCAGTGGAAGAAGACCAATTCAATGGTGGGGATGATGATACCTTAGAAGCCAAGGACAAGAGAGCTTCGTGATCCACTTGGTCACAGGCAGCAGAGGCAAAAGAAGGCAGCAACACAAGGAAAAGCCATTGACCCAAAAAGAGAAGAAGCTGTGTTTTTGGTCCTTGCCATGGTGTTGTTGGCACCTCCTCCTTCTTCTCCTTGAAGGAGGTTGCTTTATTGTTTTTCATCTAAATGATCTCCATCCATATGCAACCATCAGTACCAATCTGTACATATAATTGTAATTATTTGACCATGTAGCTCTGGTGTGAGCTTCTGTGAACATGGAAGTACTTGGACACTACTCAGTAAACAGCCATTGACCTAGAGAGAAGAAGAGAGTCTCGAATTCACATTGCATGAACAGATTAATCACAATAAAAAATGTTTAATAAGACATAAGCCAAAAATCAAGCACATAAAAAATGACTTTAATCACATAAAAAATGACTACCACACCTGAAGTATGACTAGCACATAATAAATCTATCAAAAAGGGTGTCAATTTTCTTGGGAAGTTTGTCACATAGACCATGACATGAATGATTTACACATAAAAAAATGGACAAACTATGGTAAACCCCCTAACCTATAGGGTCATTTACGAGTTCATATCCGATTTTGGGAACATTTATGGGTACATACACAACGTCGCAAAAAATTACAGATTGCCCCCTCCGTTAGCGATTCCGTCATGAAATCCGTTATGTGCCTACGTGGCGTCTGGCCTTCTGTCATTCAAGAAATCTATTAAGGGCATTTTCGGCATCTCATGTCCCTGGGTTTCGCACCCAAAACAAAACGTGGCATAACGTAATTCAAAAAAATTAAAAAAATTAAAAAACCCAATCGTTCCAGAAGCTCATCGTCCCTAACTTCTATCACCGAAATCGATTTCCCCCCCAAATCGAAACCGATTGCACAAATTGAAACCTAATCCCTATTTTGCATCGATCGAAAGCGCAAAGAAGGCTGGGTTGATGTAATTCGAGATGCCCTGGGGTATTCGTCCTCGTGGTTGTCGTGCTTCTCGTTACTGTAAGTTGAAGGCAGTTTTTAAATTTTTTTGCTTTTTGGTTTCCTCGCAAAGGTTTAAGATGTGTGCAGTTTGATTTTGTCTGAACCTTTCAGTTACTTTGAAGTGTGCTTGATAGTGATATTTGTGGTCCATGGTTGATAGTAAACGTAGTTGTGTTGTTGAAAATGCATTTTAAAAAAAAAAGCACTTTTTCTTTTCAAACCAAATTGCTTTTGATTGGAGACAGTACTTAGTGGTCCAAAACCTCTGCATTTGTTTATGTCCTTGTTTAGTCACCAGTTAAATATTGAACAATTGTGTATTGATAGGTTTGACTGTTATGTGGCATTGTAGGTGAAGATGATAAGTTTACTATTCGAATGAACCATGGGGGTTCTTTATGTGACAACCTGTATGTAAATAGGACTCTGAATTTCATTGATTTTTGTGATAAGGACCAAATGTCTATGTTTGAAATTGGTCTGATGGTTAAGGAGTTAGGCTATGATGGTATAGTGTTATATCACTATGAGCTTCCCAACTCTGCTTCTGTAAAGAAGCTTATGTCTGATGAAGATGTTCTGAAAATGTGTGAATGTGTGCCAGGAGTAAGGGAGATAGATATATTTTTGACACAGTTGGCTGATGACCCTTATACCTTTTTAAACAAACACAGAGATGGAACTGCAAAGGGTGGAAGGTTCTAGGGTCCAAAAACAGAAGTCAGTCGTGATTGAGGATATAGGATGTGCTGATTGTATTCCTCTTGTTCCTTATGTAAGGGCAAAGGCTGCTGCAAAGGGTAAAACATTGAACATAGTGGAGCAAGAACCAGTAGAGGATGTTGGGGATTTTTCAGAACCTGAGGCACCAAAGAATGCAAAGGGTAAAATAGTGGCTGAGGCAGCAAAGAAGGGAAAGGCTGCAAGGTGTAGTATGGATAAGGAAGTGGCTGACCCTGAGCCACCAAAGAGTGTAAGGGCTACAAGGTCTTCAAAGGGTAAAGATGTAGTTGAACCTGAGGCACCAAAGAGGGCTAGGGCTACAAGGTCTTCAAAGGGTAAAGGTGTGGCAATGGCAACTGCAACAGATGGGGAAGATAGTGATGCATCCTTATCAGATGCATCTACTTTTGTTGACAGTGAGTGAGGGGAGGGGGAGGAACATTGAAGAGATAGCTGAGGAAACCATATTTTTGCAACAGTGGATTGCAGACCATTCCTCAGTTGAAGATACTTTTCAGCCTCTTGAAGATGAAGAGATAAATAAGAGTGGTGTTGTTAATGAGGGTGAAGGTGGTGCTGTAAATGAAGGTGGTGTTGTTAATGAGGGTGAAGGTCCAAGTGGGGACCAACCTTTATATGTTGGTCTAAGTGGGGACCACCCTTCACAAGCTGGCCCAAGTGGAGACCACCCTTCACAGACTGGTCAAAATAGGGAGTAGCCTTCTCGGATTACGGATTTTCACCGCATAGATCTTGAAGACACCAGATTGGAATAGGGGGATCAAGCAGTGGAGGATGAGTTAAGAAGTGTTCATTCATATGAAGATGATGAAACAGTTGCAATGGGGAAAAAATTCAAACATTACAACCATGAAACAGACAAGCAAAATCCTGTTTTTGATACTGGAATGATATTCAGTGACTGCAAGGTTTTCAGAGAAGCTGTTTGTGAATATTGCTTGTTGAGTGGGAAAGAGGTCACTTTCACCAGGAATGAAAAGTATAAGCTGAAGGCAGTTTGTAAAGCAGTGAGCTGTCCATGGCAGATTTATGTGGCTTGGAAAAACCCTACAGATCGAAGCTTGGTGGCGAAATACTATAATCCCAATCACAATTGTGTCAGAGTATTTCAAAACACACAAGCCCCAAGTAAATGGTTGACAGAGAAGTTCCTGCCTAGGATTCAGTCAAATCCCACCATGCCTCCACAGTCTATAGTGAATGCAGCATCTTCTGAGTTTAAAGTAGGTATATCTAGGATGAAAGCTTACAGGGCAAAGGCAGACGCACTTCGAATGATTGAAGGATCAATTGCTGAGCAATATGCCATGCTATGGGATTATTGCCATGAGCTGGAAGACAAAAACCCTGGCTCCACAACAAAGATACAGTGTGAGTTTGTTGATGGTGAAGCTGTTTTCAAGCGTTTGTACATTTGTTTAGAACCATTAAAGAAAGGGTTTAAGATGAACTGTAGGTCTTTTATTGGGTTAGATGCCTGCCATCTAAACGGAGTTTATGGTGGACAGTTGCTTACAGCAGTTGGGATTGATCCCAATAACGAGACTTGGGTCCTAGCATATGCTGTGGTTGAGATGGAAACAAGGGAGTCATGGACATGGTTCATTGATCTGTTGGCCAAGGATGTGGACATTGTTAATTCCTATGGATGGGCCTTTATATCTGACAAGCAAAAATGACTGCCTGGTGCCTTTGAAGACATTGTGCCTAATGCTGAGACAAGAATTTGTGTGAGGCACCTTTGGGATAACTTCAACAAAACGTATAAAGGTAAAGTATTGAGGGATCAGTTATGGACATGTGCTAGAGCTACCAATGTGCCTTGTTTTAACTATCAAATGGAAGTAATGAAGACCTTAGATAGCAATGCATGGGAGTGGCTTGCTGAGAAGCCACCAACACAATGGAGCAAGTCTCATTTCAGAACACATATTAAGTGTGATATGTGCAGAATAACTTGTGTGAAAGCTTCAACAATAGTATCAAGACAGCAAGGGACAAGCCAATTATCACAATGCTAGAGATGATCAGGTGCTTGTTGATGAGAAGGATCCAGTGGATGAGGGACAAGATGAGCAGTTGGCCTCATCAAATATGTAAGAACATTTTTGACCATGTGCAACAGAAAAAGCTAGAAGCATGTAATTGTACTGTGCAAGTGGTCTAGTGGTCCTAAATATCAAGTGGATGCAGGAAGAGGTGACCAATATGTGGTGGATTTGGATAATCACACTTGTTCTTGCAGAAAGTGGGACTTGTCAAGCATTCCTTGTACTCATGGAATTGCTGCCATACATTACAAAGGAGGTAAAGCTGTGGAGGATTATGTGCATTCATACTACAGTAAGGACAGTTACATGGCCCTCTATAACAATCTCACTGTGCCAATTAATGGATCACAGCTATGGGAGAAGACCAACCAGCCAGCAATAAAGCCCCCAGCCTATACTAGACAACCTGGAAGACCTAGAAAGGTGAGGATAAAAGGAGCTGAAGAGGGAATAGATAGGAGTGGGAAAAAAGGTTGGGAAGACAAGGAATGCAAATGAGGTGTAGTATTTGTGGCTCAACTGGCAATAACAAAACCACCCACCATCGGAATCTACCTCAAAAGGAAAAACCCCTTTCAAGGGGTAAAGGAAGACCAAGAAAGATATCTAACCAAGACCCTGCAGTTCCTGCTGTGTGTGCCTATTTTTATTGCTAGGTTGTGTTGATGAAATGTTATGTTGTTTCTTCTTTAAAATGGAAAAGCAATTTCATTGTTTTATTGTTTGAAGCTGAGAGTGTATTTTGTCTGTAGGATGAAGCAAAAGCAGCTGCAAGAGTTAGGAGAAAGAATGCATATGTAAGGGCAAAGGCTACTGCTGCTGCAAAGAAGGCTGCACTAAATGCTTCCCAGCCAAATGCAGCTGAAACTG